CCACACAGTATCGCCGCATTCGAGGAGATTTGATCTTGGTATACCAAATAATGCGGAACCCAGACCACCCATCCCGTCCACTCTTTTCCTTGTCGCCCAACACTCACCTGCGGGGGCATTCATTCGCCCTCACAGTGTGCATTACTTGGAATTCTCTACCACCACACGTTGTCTCTGCACCAACAATTGATTCATTCAAGCACAATCTGAATGAAGTTTTGAAGTCTTAAATTTCAACATCCGTAGAAGTGCACGAAACAAGGACAAATTGTGACATTGTGACATTTATCTACTTTGTATGTATTGTGAACCGATTCATCGGTGCCAAACCCTATGGGACTAGAAAAGCAACCGCTTGTAAGTATTTCCCATGATAAAACTTTGTGAACAAGATCTCCGGAATGAAGTGATGACGACCGACAGCACTTGAAAAATGGACATAGCAACATAAAAGTTCGATCTGAAGAAGTGTCAGGTGAGATTTTCACTGTCAAAAGAGGATTTGTACGTTAATTTGCATAGCGTATTGTTCACTGAACATGGCGAGCCAAAACACACACAGAACAGGTTGAGTTGTGATTGCCTGGAGCTATTCGTATTGGCACTGTAATATTTCCACGCCTCGTTGCTCTAATTAATCATTGACCAGGAACAGGGAGTTGCTGTGCGTTGCGAATGAAGAGAAAAAAACGCCCTGCAGTCAAACAGACAGTAACAACAGGGGAATCTTCAAGATAATATTTTTATGTCCCACGATTAGATCCTTTGTCGCCCGAGTGATTGGGCGAACAGAATGTTTGTCCCTTCCCTACCCCCCCCTACCCGAGTCACCAGAGAACACTTTATACTCCTGAGCGTCTCTACGTGGCACTACACATTGAGGCAAAGGATACACAACAACAACATGAGCCACAAGCAGTCCAGTGAAAAATGGTTACATATATTCAACTGGACGTGATGTGTTAGAGACGAAGTGAGGCAAGATAACGAGGTAGGAGAAACACCGGCGGGGGGATACAAGCGACTGACCAGCATAATCGAAAACGCTTAGAAAAGAAATTAAATCATGATTGTGACCTGCTTTTTGTTCCCAGATCGCAGAGACAGTATATAAGCCTCACGTTTTTCACAACTATTTCCCGCTGGATAAACCGGTTTCCACAGTTTCTGAGTTGACAACTGTCCAAGAACGGTGACTGGTTATGAAATCGATGCAGACAGTGCTGGTTCACTATTGACGTGCAGCAAAATACATTTAATCATTTAACCATTCGGTTAAGTCTGTCCGTTGTGTTTTTCTCGACTATACGTTTGATTCTGTCCCGATCATCCCTTCTTTTCAAACTTGAATCTTTTGGCACTCCAAAACAACTGCTCTCATGGCTTGCCGACTGTTTCACACAGACGGTCCAATGCACCGAATTAGGAAGGGAGACATCAAAACCTCCTGTTAATAATTCTGGTGTTCTTCAAGGTGCTGTTCTATCTCCATATCTTTTTTCTGCCTTTATTAGTGATCTTTCG